CAAAACTCCCTGGAGAAGACAATAGTGCTATAACAAGTCATAGGTAGGAATGGAGTAGAAAACAGAACTGCCAAAATCTTACTATCCTTGTACAAATTGTTGGGGCAACATCATTTAGAGTTTTCTGTTCAGGTTGGCTCACCTGGATAAAAACAAAATATACAGAAAAAGGCAATGAAAATGATCAAGAGACTGGAACATCTCCCTTAAGATGAGCAGCTGCAAAAACTGGGAATGTTCATCTTGGGGAAAAAAAGGAGAATAAGGTGAGACATGATACAGGTGTTTAAAATTATAAATGGAATGGATAAAATGGACATTTTTTCTCACTCTCTGTAACTTTCATAAATGTAGGGTCATTCTATGAAGCTGACTGAGGAAAGGTTTAGGACAGACAGAAGAAAGTACTTGTTCACACAATGTTTAGTTAAATTATGGAAATCAAAGACACAGGATTTGATGATGGCCACAAATCTTGATGGCTTTAAGAAAGGATTGAACAGGTTCATGGAGTAAGAGCCTATCTGTGGCTACTAGCATTCCTGGCTAGGTGCTACCTCCTTCAGTAGAGCTAGCCTGCTTGCATTCACCAGTTGATGAGGAACTTGGGCAGCGGGAGATCTTGCAGCCATCCTGTCTGGGAGATCCTGTGGGCAGCTGGTTGCTGCCATATGTATGGAATGCTCAACTAGAAAGACCAGCATGGCTTTTCTTGTGTTCTTGTGTAGAAGTAGAAGGGGAAGACCAAATACAAGATGGATCAGCTCCATAAGGCAAGCCCCTGTCTTCAGTTTACAAAAGCTGAGCAGACCTGTTGAGGACAGGCCATCTTGGAGAACATTCATTTGCAGTGTTGCCATAGGGCAGAGAAGATTTGACAGCACACAACAACAAAAGCCATCATGCAGGACAGGTCTATTAATGTCAGTAACCTATGCCATATGCTAAGGTTCAGCACCAGGGATAGCTCTTGTTTATATGCTTCCCAATTATGTGGCTGGTCATTTCACCATTGGTATACTGGTTCAAAACTAGATTAACATTCTGCTCCTGTAAAGGAGTCGTTATGCTGCTATGAAAGCTCCTGCATTTCTTAGTAAATTGCACAAAGGAAAAATGGTCGCTACACTTAAGCAATCTATTTCATCTGATATCCAAGCCTAGCTCAGTGACCTATACTTTCCAGAATGTATCTGGAATGTTTTTAAAAGAATGTGATGACCCTGGCCTGATTGACACAGCTACTGCCATTTTAAAAGGGCAAAGCTCCATTTTCGGAGTCAGCTCATTTTCCTATATCTGAATTATGTTCATTTTCCTATATCTGAATTAGAAATGAATAAAGCCATCACTTTCACTTATTCCCAGATTTATGCATTTGTTTTAATTTCAAGCTCTTCTTGTACTACTTAGGAAATATTTGGGAAATATTTGGTTAGGCTAAGAGTCAGTAACTGGTCCAGTGAGCTTCATGGGTGAATAGAGAAGAGAACCTGGATCTTCAGAGTACTGGTCCAAAGCTCCAACTGAAGAAGAGGCTGCTACATTCCACCCCCTCATCTCTGATTCCTGTGGCATAAGCTATGTGTCAGGGAATGGGATTCCCAGATATCATTTCTGATCAACATGGCAAAAGTGCATGCTCAGCCACTGTAGGCCACCATGAACTAGGGATATTAGGGAATTTAGTTTCTGTTTGCAAATCCCAGGAACACGCCTTGCTCACATCCATAAATATAAATGCAATCAGGAACAGTATTCTTTGACAAATGCTTCTGAATTTGTTTTTGCTTTCAAAAATTTGAGTATACTTTGAGCTCTACATTTAATGTATATAAAATATACAATTTTAGACTTCAGTCAATAGGGAGAAAAATAGCCTAAAAACATGCTCTTTTACTTTTCTCCCATTTGAAGAATTAAGGCAAACTTCCTATTACTAATTCCACACTCTAACAATCCTGCTGGGTGCAGGGGCAGTTTTAGACTTCACTGCAGGAAGGAATCCCACAGAGGGAAGGTAGCTGATCCTTGTTAAAGCAGCCTGAAGAGCTCCGCTGATTAGTTCACCATTCTTGTCTTTTGTCAACAGAGCAGGCCGCTTGCACTCTCCATTAGAGGGGACACTTGCCCCTGCCCACAAGCCACAGGTCAGAGCAACTTCACTATTGATTTTGAGCTGGGCTCATTCAGCCATGATAGCAAACTATAGTTTGGCAATATGTGAGTCAACCTCTAAAGAGTTGTGGACTTCTGTTCTCATTTTCCTTTGTGTGCTATGATTCTTTTGCTCCTTTCCTAGATGGTAGCAAGCCATGGTTTGCCCACACCTCTGCACAAGCAAACTATGGCTTGCTTCTACTTGCAAACTGGGCTGGAAACCAGGATTAGTTTGTGGCAAATCAAAAAGGGAGATAAAAGGATAAGAGGGGGAAGGGTGGATTCTGTGAGCCTGAGTTTGTTCACATAGTGCTAGTGTTTGTTCACACAGTACCAAATCATGATTTGACATAAAGTCTCTGTGAAATGTAGACTGAGTTCCTACATTATATCATCTTAATGCTTTTAATTGAGGTTCACATTTAATGGTCCAGGAAACTCAGATCAGGCATGGAAATTTCCCTGAATTATTTATTTTTGAAGAAAGCAGTAAGGTTGCCATTTAATTGCCATTTAATTTCTCTCCAATGCTGCTATCTCTCCTTTTTGTCTGCAGTTCTTCAGAAGGCATATGCAGAAAAGGGCAAAGTACCATCCTTGGTGGGAAACCAATTTCAGTAAAATGAATGAACTTCATGATCTCATAGGCAGCCAGGTAGCTCTACCCACCAACTTTGGGCAGCTCACAGAGGTGTGGGTTTTCTGGGAAATTTCCTCTGCTAATTTGGTTAGTTTTTGTTGTGTCATTTGTATGTAGATGCCCTAGAGAATTGTCTAATTTAACATGCTTCTTTTACTAGTATTCAATTAACCAAGTACCCCATGATATTTTCTGAAGTTGAGGAGAAAAATAAAGCACATTTATAGTACAATCCAGGAAAATTAGCCATAAACTTCTAAATTCATTAGTTTATAGGAAACATATGGCGAGTGGGTAAAGTACAGAGGCAAAGGCTGGCTTCTTACATCTCAGACCCTGCAAAGCACTTGATCAGCCAATTTAGGGTACAAGGAGAGGAGGCCATGGCATCACCAGGATGCTTGCAGCAGCAGGCGCCTGTCTGCTCTCCTCCCTGCCTCCAAGGTCATGCTCCAAGGCCCCTATCATAGAAATTCATTTCCAAAATACAGCAGCAGATTGTATGGAGGGTTTAAAGGCTTACGTTTGAATTGAACATGAGCTAAAATCACCTCTTTGAAACTCCGGAATGATTTGGCAGTGAATTAGCAAGGTGTGGCTCAGTTTGGTTCAGTTCAGTTCTGCTGCTGGCCATGGTGACAACGGAAAATGGGAGTATTAGGACTGAGCCTGGAGGGGACATATGCTGCCCATGGACCACAAAGAGGGAGCTGTTACTGATCTAAGGGAAGCGAGTCCAGCAAGATGATGGTACACTGAGCATAATACTCTGGTGAGGTACACTACACTTTACAGCCAATGACCACAGGCCACTTCCTAAGGAGCTTTGCACACCCTCTTATTTTGGCTTCCTCAACTGCCTCCCTTCCTCATGATATTCAGATAAACAAAACGATATCCATCTCCCACACCACATACCCATGAATATATTCAGGAGAGGTGCTAGGAGCAACATAATCCCTGTGGATTTTTTAATCTCCGCATGGTCAACTTTGGCTTCATGCTACCCTGTGGGTGAGTGGTGTGCTGCTTTGGTACACCTCCAGAAGTTTGATGGTAGCCGCGTTGCAGGGCAGAGGGGTCTTTTTTGGGGATGGCTTCTTTGAACTCTTAAGTCTGCGATGTCTTGTTACAGTTACCTAGTATTGCTTTGCTTCTGAATTTTCTCAGAGGTTGTTCTAAGGATGTTCTTTCCATGCATGTGCATATACTCTTCATATCCTTACTTTCCATCTCTGGGTTCCAACAACACCCAAACTCCCACTCCAGGGTTGATTTTGGTTTCCCATTGAAATGTGGGGTGTTGCTGGAACATGGGTTATTGTGATGCATGAAGTCAGCTGAGATAGCAAACCATGGTGAACCCCAGATGGTGAGCTACACTACGCATATTACTTCAAGGAACCATATTACTCCAATAATACATACTTTATCTGTATATTCATCATTTGAAGTTTCATTTGGCAAATCCACAGGTGTATTTGGATTAACCTGAATACTTTTCAAAGCACTTTAAAAATACAATTGGTGATTGAAGGCTAAATATGATTTTTGTATGCTTACACTGCTGTTACTCATCTTCTTACAATATTATGGTGTGTTATAACACTCACTGGAGTACATAATTTTGTGGCATGTTTGTGATCTATTGGTATATTTTGAGTATCTATAATTAAAGAAGACAGGGAAGGGGAGCAGTTTCTTTATAATGTTACCCCTTTCCCAGCTTCAGTCTATTTTGGTTCCAGCTATCTCTTTTGCCAAAATGGAATACACATTTATTAAGAAATGCTATTGCTTTGCAGAATAAATAATATTTAAATTCATAAAATATTTTAATTACTTCTGAAAAGAATTCCCTCAGCTTTGTATGACTTGAAGCAGCATTACTGAACTTCTGTTTGCATTTGCAGAGATGTTAAATTATACATCATTCATGTCAGTATTTCATGGAGGATAAACCATTAAAATTCTGACATTTTCAGTCAGTTTTCATAACCTCTCAGTACCACAATGCCAAAGGAACTATAAGTGTTTCAACTCTTGTCCCCAATAAATTCCACTACATACACTTTAGAGGAATCCATTAACCTCTTTGCTAATAAGCAGAGCAAGAACAAAAATTATCTTAACATATTATCAAAGATATAAAATACCTCTGAGATTGGCAACAACACTGTTTTTCACTACTTTACTGTACCTGTGGATCAAAGAGAAAGTACAGCCGTCCATTTCGCATCTGTAGTACAATATATTCCTCTTGATTCCCAGGTGAGATGGAGAAAAGTATTAGGCCATCAAGTTCTGTAGTTCTAAAACTCACTTTAATACCTGGTTAGAAATCAAAAGGAGATATTTACCTCTAGCTTTTTAATACATTCATGACATGCAAATAAATCAGGCTGGCAAGAAATGAAAAGCCAGAACTATGATCTGTGGGAGAAGAATACCACAGAGACTGGCATTATGCACCTTTGAAACCTAGGGTTTGATTTAAAGCACAGCTGAAAATGTGCTGTAAGAGCTATACATGAAGGTCCCATTCAAACGTCACTTCATTTCCGGTCCTGGAACTCAGGAAAGATCAAGTGCATTTGCTCTTCAGGTCTTCCCTCTCTCGTCATAGCTTATCCCTTTAAGAAGGTTTAATAGCACAATATCAAGCAGGAACTGCATTCAAATAAAATCTTGGGACCATCTAGTTATTCATCTGATTCTTCCTCAAGCAGGGATAACAGCAGTCACTGCAGACTGGCCCCAGGCTTTATATTGTCAATGAAGAGTCCACAAAAGAAAATCACAGGAAGATCCATCTGCTATGCTAGTCCTTTATCACTGACAAATCGTGCAAGTCCTTTATGGAAGAGTATAAATGAAGGCTCTACCACAGGTTGAACTTGACACAACTGTTCCTTGTGTCAACATCACTTTTTGCTCATTCAGTTATTCACATCTCAATAGCAGTTTTCTCCCAAAGACATGTGTTTTGTCAGGGGAACTAAATGCAGCATCTTTCCACCCTATCATTGTATGGTTTATAAACCTGGAAAGTGCAGAAAGCTGGCAGGTGGTGCCCACCAGAGAAGGCAAGGCAGAGGGGTAGGGGCAAGCAGTTCCATAAAGATTAGCTCAATTTGTTTTGCCAATATTTCTCAAAGGCAAAGGCTCCCCAATACTTCAAAAGGGAGAAGCATCAGTGGCAAGTTCACCCAACCCTTTCCTAGTGCACATGGTTATTTATTCATTTATTTAAAACATTTCTATGTTGCCCCATCGCAATAAGCCTCGGGGCGGCTCACAACATCAATAAACCATTCAATAAAACCCCAATACAATAAAACCCCAGTGCCATAAAACCTCAATAAAACCTCTGTGCATTATCAGCTAAAAATTAAAAAAAACCTAGTTAAATAAATAAATAAACAATTAAAATAAGTTTTAAATAAAAAGGTCTTAGCCTGGTGCCGAAAAACAAATAACAACTGCGCCAGGCGGACCTCTCTGGGGAGTGCATTCCATAGATGGGGCGCCACCGCAGAGAAAGCCCTCCTCCGGGTATTCACCCTCCTGATGTCATTCACAGATGGTTCCTGGAGAAGGGCATCTGCTGCTGACCTCAAAGGGTGGGAGGGCATATATGGGAGCAAGCGTTCCTTTAAGTATGAGTAAACATTTCTTGACAACTAGGTAGGCACAATTATATTTCCTCTGTGTTGCATATTAGAATTATTTTCAGGAGTCCACATTCTTGACAAAGGTACATATGATTAACAATGTGCTCTTATTTCCTATACACTCATACTTATGTCCTTGTGATTCCCTCTTAGCACACTTAACACAGAGCAAGCTAATTTATTGGGTTTTACCCAGCTGTATCAAATGAATCAACTTCTTCATATTAATTTCCCCTTCCTTTGCCAGGCAGAAAATAATAAGTAATGGAAGCTTTTCGTGTAGACAGAATCTATTATGAAAAATTAAAGAATCATAACTGCAGCACGTATTCATATTACATAATGCTACTAATTATCTTATGCCACAAGCAGTTTCCTTTGACCCACATACTTTAATCACGCCACAGGTTGTCACCCTGTGCATCACAATGTACTCACAAATATTAAGACATTCACTTGAGATAATGAACATCTATCATGCTATTAAAATAGCTGTTCAGAGCTATGTGACAATTGACTTTGAATAAACATGATGGGCTATAATCAAAAGTCCTTTTATGTGCCAATGGCATTTCAGAGGGCGTGAGATGGCTGAAAGAAATAGAGAGATTGAAGGGAAAAGCAGGGAAACTTGCCCTCGGGATAATGCCATGCTTGCTTACTTCTTGATTTCTTGATTATTTTTAATTTCTATTTACTTCTAAACTGAATATCTACCAAACAGAGAAGGAGAAAATGAAATATTCAGAAACTTCCACTCATAGATAAGCCCCTAACCCTCATTAAAAGGTCTACTTAGGAATTTCTCCCTGGAAGACAAAACCAGAAGGTGTATTCTGATTCAGCCCTTTGTTATGCTCCAGAATGGAAAGTATGGGGCCTTGTTCCAACATGGCCATTGCTGGGTCCTGGGTCCTGGCTGTTCTTTCTTCCAAAAACAACCAATCCTGGAAAGGCTGTTCAGAATGTCCTGCTTTTCAGGGATCGGGGAGCACATCACAGTGAGGCAGAAAAATGTGCCCCACCTAGTCTCTATTCAGCCAATTAAAGAAGTGCGCACTGTTTGCAGTCTTCAGAGAACTTCTGCTTTCTGGCAACCGACCATTAATCATAACAGACTGTGTTTATCTATAATAGAGATGTCCTATATTATTTCAGAAAGGGAAGATGAAAAAATGTATATATCTAAAAAGTCTTCCAGATGTATCGCACTTGATTAGAACTACTTTGTTAAAATCATAAACATTAAGTAACCATCAGTGTTACAATCCTACCCATGCTTAGTTACTAAGTTCCACTGTGTTCAATGGAGCCTACTCTCTGGTAAGTGTAGACGTGAATGCAGATCAAAACATCAGACTTTCTGCATGGAAGTCCTCCCTCCAGCAAAAATAAGCTTGCAAGCCAAAATATCATAATTTTGAACATGACACAAAACATGAGGCAGAAACAGTCAATGATCAGATTTTCCATAGTGCTCATCAAGCAACTTGCAAGTTTTACTATGCTGTTATAGATCAAATATCACAGGCGGAATATGATAGTCAGTTCACACATTCAGTTGTGAGTTGTCAAGTTCAGAGCAAGGGACATGCACTTGCATGAGTAATATCCATTTGCATGGATGAAATGAGCTGACCCTTCCTAATGAGGACATCTATCCCTTTCAAGACACGGCAGTCTCTTATGGACCACAGCAAGCTAAGGCCTGGTCTCTGTGTTATCATTGTCATAGAAACCATGATTGAAGCACCCTTCGTGTCATGGTCAGTTCAAGATGCACCCATAATATATGAAGCAGCTTGTCACGCGGAATGCTCACTCAGAGACCAGTAACAGAAAACAGGGCAATCTGCATGGGAAAGTACTCCATATCTTACAGTCACAGCATGGGCCAGACTTCACATGAGGTTGTATCAAGAAACTGCTATAGTGAGGAATCCCTTAACTTAGAACATTTGAATATTATTATAAAGGAAGGAAGGAAGGAAGGAAGGAAGGAAGGAAGGAAGGAAGGAAGGAAAAAGGCCTCTTGGTTATTTTTTCCATCCCTTTTTAGGCTTGCTTTGCCACCGGCCATCTTAAAGATCTTCTGCGATTTCCTATTTTTACTGCATTCTTTAGAATCACTCACAGCTTTCCACGCCACAGTGCCATATACTATGGCTGTGTTCAGATCTCACTAACAACAGTTAGTGAGATCACAGACCTCAGAGGTCTCACTAACCAATGTTTAGGTGTTTCCATTGACAGAAGGTACCGTGGGAATAATTATCACTTGTGATAACCCTGAGTTCTAAAAGATTCTGGCTGAGCATGATGTTCAAATGCAGCCTTTGGGTGCTTGTTGTGTGGCCTGAAGCTGAAGCAGGAAGGTTGCTTTTGATTCATAGGGATTCATAGAAAATCCTACTAACAGGCCACCCTATAGTTGCTGTACTGTACCTTTAATAAGCAACACCACTGTCTTTGGAAATGAAGAGCTTGTGGATGGAGAGCTAAATTGACCCTACTGGCAACAACATCAAGAATGTTTCTAAAACTACTAGCTAGAATGCAAAGATGTACATGCAGAAGGGGCTTGGAGAAAAGTAATGTTCCTAGCCTCCCCACCCCTTAAGCCCACTTCCAAAATTTTCTGAGAGGCAGGAGATCTTCAGAATGAGGTCCAGAAAAAAGAACATTGCTGAAAACTCATGCTTATGAGTGGCATCCCATGTGTTTGCAACTGGCCGATGTGATACAATTTTGGCCAGATCGGAAAACCACAGTCACATGTTCTTCAGAATATTCATAACCATACTTCAAACTTACCAAATGCTTATATAGGTTATTCTAAGAAGGCAAACGAGCCCAAATATTGGTGAGGCAAATGGATGGGTAAATCAAGTATTGCTTAAAAACATGGCATTACATACATCCAGAATTCCTTATCAAGTACATCATCTTGAATTGGATTCAAGCACTTCAAGTACACTATGCTATGTTAAAATGACTAATATGATACCTGCTTTTATTTTATTTTTTGCCACCCCATTATACCCATTACTGGTAAAACAAACAGGACATTTTAGCTTTAATCTTCTTACTACATAACCCAAATAACTTCAGTCATGTTTGCATTAATGTTGCATTAATCATGTTGTTGCGTATTAATGAGTTTTCAGGCTATGCTAATTACTGTCATAGATTCTGCAGCAGCCCATTAAATATACAAATTACAGAATTAAAGAGCCAGAGCTCTTCATGATTAATCTTTAAATGGAGAAAAACTAATGATGTCTGTACAAAGTTTCGCTCTACTTTGGGCTGACTGAGCCCAGTGAGCAGTCAATTAGAGTATTTGAGGAATAAGAAACCCCGAAGATTCCGTAAGAGCTTTTGCTTTTCCCACAGTTATTTGAAACAGATACTGGGTATGAAACCTTTTCAGATTTTCTGTTACACAAACATTTATAATATCTTTCTCTCTTTAAGACTTTCTTAAGTGTCTACAGACTTACATTCATTATTATGTACCCAATGGAAACAGCTGCCTCTGTATGAATATAGTAAATCAATCTTCTCTTTTTAGCAAGGACACCAGTCCTGTTGCTCTCTAGTTAAGAAGATTTACAGCAAACCTTGGTGAAAACAAAGGCGAGATAAGTTTAGAGT